GAGCATTGATTGCTTTTTCTTCTAGAAGGAATATTTGCTGTCGGTTAAAGAAAATATTACATATATCTAATTTATTATTAACAGGCTCAAAAACCCAAGGGATGACTCAGTGTTGTAATCCATATCTAACAGACAACAGTACATTTGATACTAAGACTCCTTTCTTTACTTATATCTCAATATAAAAGACTAATGGTAAGAGAATGAAAGCAAAACAAAACAGTTTGAAACAATTTTACATAACTATTTAAAACATAATAACACTGGTGAAGATGACCTCAAAGAGTTGAAATTAATTCCCATTTTTTGCTATGACATAATGTCAGACAAAACAAGAAAAAGTACATTTATTCAATGGGGATAAAATTCAACAGTAAGAAATAATAAACTTAAACAGAATCATACTGGTATTATAATTAACTGAAAATACTGTTAATAAAGCCTGAAGGACTTTTTGGCAACTTACCTAAATTTGCCCACAATTCCAAAATACATGCAGCCATGCTCAGGTACAAAAATGTGCGAAAGAATAGCAAAAGTTCCAATAGAAATTGTGACTAAACTTTAGATAGGCTGGATAACATCTAATTGAGATAACATTAACAGATTTTGCTCTACTGTCTTATGTTTAGTTAAAGTTTAAAGATGTTAGGAGTGGTTTAAAATAGTTGCTCACTGAGTCGAGGAAGCAAAAAAGAAAAACTTTACATAGTGGTTGTTCTTTTTTTCCCTTTCAAATACATATAATTGTGTAAAGATAGTAAATTAACTGAAGTAATTTGACATGAAAGTAATTTGGAAATAAAATACTATAATAGCAACAACAAAAAAAGCTGTCATGTGTTTTGATTGTCATGCCTATCTACTGAGCAAAATAACAGCTCTCCCTCTGTCTTACCTACGAAATGAAGAAAGGCACACAAGTAAAGGACCTTAGTCCTTCCTAAGCAGGTTTCTGCAAACCACCCAATCAGAACAGGGGTCAGGGTGCTGGCTCCTATGAAGCACAGGTTGACGGTCGCAGCCAGGACGTTGTCATAGCCCAGCTTCACAGTGCAGAACAGAATCATGTTACATACAATCCCAAAGAACGTAAACCTCTCACACAGCTCCACAAGCAGAACACAGATGACAACTTGGAGTTTCTTGCGAGATTTCTTCTGTGGTCTCTGGTCCAGAGTAGGAATCTGGAAGACTGGTTGTTGTCTTTCCCAGCCATCCGGCGCTCTTTTCAGTCCTCCTGCCACCATTCCACCAGCATCGAGAGGTGAGTCCTCTGCTGCTTAGTTGGTTGAGGACTGTGAGTGCTGATCCAGCTCACGCTTTTTGAGAACCATCAGCGAGTAAAGCTGGAATTCTGCATCCTGGTGTGACTCCTGAGCTGAAATACAGACTAATAAGTCACAGCCTGTCTGTGTTGGTGGCTGCTTCATCTCTTCGTATCTCACTCAGATCTGTTGTTGTTGTATGGGAATCCGACACATTGTGCACAATTTTGTAAAGGAGTGATGAGTGGTAGCAGATCAGAGGAGATCTCTGAATATTTTTAGACTAACTAGGAAGACATAAAAAGTCAGTTTTTAAACTATCTTCCACTCATTACAAATTTGCAGACATTTTGTGACCAGTAATAACACACAGAGGACGTTTGTATTATTTCTATCTGACTTCAAGGAAACTTGCTAAATTTAAGTAAAACACATAGAAAATATAAAGTAATTTCTGTCGTATTTATGTAGAGATTTCTCTGGAAGAGATCCTTTTAAAAAAATCTTTCAATTGACTTCCACACAGAGTTCAAAACTCCAAAACACTTTTACAAATGTTAATGACCTGTAACCTGAATATCACACCCATTCCTGTATTAGGTAAAAAATGTTTAAAATCCGTATACAGTGACAGAAGCAAACCTTTTCCTAAGGTCATCTAAAGTTAATCATGCCATTTGTATTGTCATCCAGCTGCACATTGCTCAAAGTGATGTTAAATATTAACTTTTCAAAGATGCCAGACCACTTCTGGTAATGGTTCACAATATCAGCAGTCATATATTTTTTAAAATCAGCTTCCTTTACCAAAGAAATTAAGTTGAAACAAAGACAACAATAAATTAATCTCTGCTGCATGTTGTTGCAAACTCACTCAAAATGTCACATCTCCCAGTTAAGGCTGGCCCTCACGGAGCAAGCTCATTTAGAGTAGACTGCCGGTAATTAGACTCATGATGTTAGATTAGAGTGCAGCTTAACTAGATTGAGGCTGCAAAAAACAACCTTTTATCCCTGTAAACTGATAGTCTGAGAACAAGAGAAAGCATTTCATTAGCAAACATAGATCAAATGACATGTGACTATTGTTTTTAAAATATTTCCTAGAATAGAATAGTTCTGACATAGTTTAGTTAACTTACAAAACTATTAAAATAGGTGATGGGTTTGTTATTTTGGTGGATATAGAGTTGTTAAATGAGATAATCCTGTCAGAAAGCTCAATGATGAGTTAAAACAAGCTTTTTTGCAAGTAGTTTTGTCTGTTTTCTGGTGCTGATTGCATTTTACAATCAAAAGCAAGGCTCCCAACGTCACTATGGTAACTCACAGCGTGCACGAGAGCTTGGGGGCGTGGTGTATCATGGGAAAAGGAAACTGTAGTTAAATCGGTTCTAGCTTCCTTACTGAAAAAGGGCAGCACAAAAACACATTTTTGACTCTACCACAAAGGTAAAAGGTGAAAGTATTTGCTTGTTATTTTCAGTAATACGCTATGCACGCAACTATGTAACTTTTTGGCCTTTAACGGTCACGCTAGAAAGTGCTAATTCTAATGCTAAAGTTAGCTAACTAGCTTAATGTTGCTAACCGTTGTAAATACTGGCGTTGTATGGGGACAGTTGAATATTGTGGGTGTTGAAATGTATACATAGTCATTGATTCACACGCAAAATGCAAATGTAAACACGAGTGCAGCTGACACTTCTGACATTTCGGCTTTAAACCGCAGGTATCAGCTAAGGGAGGATGCCCAAGTTTCTACCCTCTGACTCCGAAGGCTTCAGCTCGACTCCCGTCAAGACTAGCCAAGATAAAGACGTCCACACAGCCAAATATCTGGATAACGGCGTTGTGTCTGACGATGAAGATACGTTTTCGATGCTTTCTCCCATCTATCACGACAGCGATGAAGAGGAGCAGAAGTACACCCCAGATCAGCAGACCTCACCCAGACACAGCAAGGACTGGGGATTCTGGGCAACATCAGCTAGGTATTGCTTCAGCTCAAACACACATTTGGTGCTTCTGTTGAATATTTCAGATTGCATTCCCATCTGTTTGTATCATTTATAGATCTGAGCTGCCTAGGACGTCTTTAAAGAAGAAGCAGAGTGTAGCTTTGCAGCTTGCAGGCTCACCTCCACTCAGTGCATGGGAGGCATGGCTGGTGAGCAAAGCTAAGGAGGATCATCTTAGGCTGGAAAAGAAAGCAGAAGAGGTAAGAGGATTTTTCTCCTAATGTTTATTCATAATTAAAATGAACACCCTTCCACTCAGTCTTTTATTGAGCAAGTAATATCACAGAACTTCTGCTGAAATTTGAATGCTTCCTAATGCAGGACCGCTTGCTCAGAGAAAAGGAAGAACAACAAGAAAGAGAAAGAGAGCAGAAGAAACTTGTCATGGAAGAGAAGATCCAAAAATGGTTAAAAACTAAAAGGGAGCGAGTAAGGATATGTGTTTTTACATGGCAATTTTTTGTCATGTCAAATATTATTGTGACATAAAATTGTGTAAAAGACCTGACGGAATTGAGTAATTCTTTTAAAAATCTGTTTTGTCATAAGGAGAGGCAGGAGCAACTTGTAAAACAAATGAAAGAGACGGAGGAGATGCAGAGGCAGCAGGAAAAACAAAGGGAGATTGAATGTAAATCCCAGCAGAAATACAGAGACTGGCTGCAAAAGAAGAACCAAGAAAAACTTGAAAAAGAAAAGAAGGAGAAGGTCATACTTCTTATTTTGATTTTGCTTTCCAAAAAGCTCAGGAAAGGATGCTGAAGCCTTTTTGTTTTACGTAACAGATGGAAGCTGCCCTGAAGGAGGAGCAGGAGAGAGAGCGTCGCAGGAAGGCAGAGGAGAAGTTTAAGGAGTGGCTGACGAAAGCCAACAAGAAAATCAGAGCTCTTCCCAAAACACACTCTTGCTTTGCAAGTAAGATTGTTGAAGTAACCTAAATTATGAACTGTTATTGCACTTTTATTTCATCTAATAAAAGCGCAATAACATTATTTTTATTTGTGAGCTATATTGGCTTTATTTTGCTCGTTATTTAATAATTGTAATGGATTCTTTTCACTCAGGCCCCTATGACAAATTACACCCAGCACCCAGCTTCTACAATCCAATCCCCTGGAAGCCGATTCATGTCCCTCCTCCAGAAATGTCTCCAAACAAAACATCTGAGAGGAAACCACAAAGGCAGAAAAAAATTAAGCAAAATCCACCCTTTTCCTATAGACAAAGAAACACGGCCAGCACAACACGTTTTCTGAACAGAAGATGACACAAACAGCTCTGTGATGCAGAGAGCTTAGACACTCATGACTCATGAAAACCAGCACAGCTCCTTCAATAAATCTCTGAGTCATGGAAGGATTTATGTTCTTTAAGTACTGTTGCTGAATTTACTTGTTTCTAATTCATTCACTTAGCTTACAACAAATCTGAGTAAGTTTATTTTTTTTAAATTAAGTTCATAAAGTAGTTAATTTTTTATACTGATACTTAATTGTTGTTTTATGCCTCACTTTTTTTTTTTTTAGAAATAGTGACTGAACATCTAGAGCTTTGGCATGTATTTTAATATTCTGTTAAAGGATCAGCTCATCCTGTTTGGAGTAAAATAAGTGTGATCAACTACTGACTCCTGTCTTATTTTCATCTTCCAGTGGTTAACAAAACCACATTTTCATCATGCGTTGACCACACCGCAGAAAAGATGGTATCTGCTTGTCACAGCCAAAGATAGAGCCCGGTTTGGCTCAAGTGGCCCTCACACTCACACATTGTTCTGGGTCCAGCTGTGCCTTGTTCTTTTGTGGGCTGGGATGACGACAGAAACGAGTGTGGGGGTGGGCAGAGGGAGAGAGAGAGAGAGAGAGAGAGAGAGAGAGAATTGATTCAGAGCAGAATCCTCATTCTGGGTTAGCATCTCACTGTGATGCCAATGTGTGAAGCCTGAGGTAAAATTGATTTCAATTACACTTTATTCTGAATTGATTGTAAAATGCTGTTGTATGTTTTGGCTGATGTGTTTTGCTCTCTGTGCCTGTCACCTGCTGTGGAATGTGTTATTTGACAGCAGTCAGACAGGGGGTCCTTAATGTAGGACATTTCTAAAAACTAATGAGAAGTTTTGGGTTTTATAGCAGACTGTGGTTATATTATATAGTCCACATAATTAGTTTTATGTTTGCACATACTTGACTTACAGTGAGCCCTCAATGCAAAATGTCTTGTGGATAAACTGTAATATACTTAAAATGCCATTTAGAAGTATTCATACTTTTTAAACGTTTGACTATTTTTTCGGGGAGGAGTTTGTGGTGAATCAACGCAAAGTGATGCACAGTTGTGAAATAAAAGTGTAACAATACATATTGTTTTTTTCTTACTTTGTTTAGATTTTTTTTTTAAAGTGTGGCATGATCTTGTATTAAGTCTTCTTGTTAATAGAAAACACAGCTATAAGTCTTTTGGTGTATGTGGACATCTTTGAATATACACACAAATTTTAACCATTCTGTGAAAAATGGCTAGGGGTCAGTCAGACTGGATGGAGAGAGTTACTAAACATTCATTTTCAAGTCTTGCCTCAGAGAGATTTGAATTGAAATACAGGCAATAAAAATAGTCTACTCTGTTTTCATCTGATCAGAGCACCTTTTTACACATCTTTGCTGTACATGACCTCATATGACTTTCTTGTTGCCACCTCTCCAAAAGTACAACATTTGTAATAGTTGTCCCGTCATCAGACTCTCCCACCTGAGTTTTGGATCTCTGAAGCTCATCCTGAGTTAATATGGGTCAGTTGTGCCAGACTCTTCGTTATTGTATGATGGACTGAACAGCACTCCATGAGAAGTCTGACTTATTCACTAATGTTCTCTAACAAACCTCCCAGAAGCGTACATAACAATTGTGCTTATACTGAGGTGAAATTATATACAAATGAATTGGTCTGGACTTTGTTAGAGGATCAGAGTAAAGGGGGTAAGTACAAATGTTATATATACTAAAAACACTTCATGTGTATGTAATTCTTTGCTTTACTCTATGAGAAAATCCTACTTCAATATACTGATGTCTAACATGCTAAACAGTTAAACAGTACTAGGGGGATGAACACTTGCAAGGCACTGTGACTCATTGTTTTTGTGTTCTTCTGATGGAAATGTCAAAGGGTTTAACAGAGAAAACACTTTTGCTAATCAGTCTCAGATCACTGAGCTTTATACAGTTGTGGTCAAAAGTGTACATACACTTGTAAAAAATCATAATGTTATGGCTGTCTTGAGTTTCCAA